GCCTGCTGTATCTCAGCAGCCACACTTCGCACTCTCTTCGGCGCTCCCTCCTACAATTCCTGCTCTCTCTCTCTCTCAAGCCGCTTTACGGCTTTGGGTGCTCCAAAACATTGGGGAGCATCATAAGTAATTCCAGTATCTTGACTGGCGCCAAATACCTTTAGTGTTCTGCTGCCCGCACTCTTCATTAGCTACTTTGCATGTATGCGCGGCCTGCATGCAACTACACATCGAGGTGGGGCTGGGTAGTTGGGGGTTGGATGGGCAGGGGACGAGACGGAGATACCACGGTTTGGGGTCAACCAAAACCCTGGGCAGCAACCCGAAGCCTTTTACATCCGGCTTGTTTCTCACATTTGCAGCCGCCAGATGCATCAGCACATTTCCCTGGACGGTAAGTGCTCATGGTGGGGAGTACACCTAGACCCTGGGCAGTAACCCGACAACTGCTCCACATAGTGCAGCTGGATCCTCACGCATCGCGCTCATTGCACCCCTTGTCCTTACTTGCGCTGTACCTACAGAGGCGGCGCTACTACCGAAGATTCTGACTCGTACATTTTCTGAAGTTTAGTTGCTTAAGGTTGTGTTGAATTTATCTTTACAAGGTGAGTGCCGCCCTCAAGGGTGTACAATTATGATCCTGACCTTGTTTTCCTCCAGTGCCAGCGGCACCCGCCAGGCTTTTTTTAAAGCCGAGTCGGGTGCGTATTTAGCTTGCTAGGTTCAAGAACGCCACAGGTTTTTGCCCTAAGGTTTGCTTGGCGTAAAAAAAGAAGAGGAGGAGGAGTAGGAGGATGAGGAGGGGACGAGAAGAGGAGGTGGAGGATGAGGAGGAGGAGGAGGAGGAGGAGGACGTGGAAGAAGAGGGGAGGACGAGGTGGAGGAGGAGGAGGAGGAGGAGGAGGAGGAGGAGGAGGAGGAGCAAGAGGAGGAGGAGGAGGAGGAGGAGGAGGAGGAGGACAAGGGGGAGGAGGAGGGGGAGGAGGAAAAGGAGGAGGATGAGGTTTTGGGTCGACTCTGGTCACGTGGGTCTTCGGATCGGCGACGGAGCGGCGACGGCGACGGCGACGGCGACGACGTAGCCGCCAGACCGACAGCTGGGCCAAGACGACGGGCGGCGACGAGGCGGCGACGGTGCGACGATGGCGACTCCATAGCCGGCAGACCGACCCCCACGCCCAGCTGCTTATTCCAGACATCCGACCCCCCAAGTGCAAGCACTGTTTGGGGAATCTGAGTTGCGTACTATACTATGTTATTGTCGGATGTGCCCCTTCAACATGGACACGCAGTGGCAGCGTGTCCTGCTGTGTCCCGCCTACCCCTGTCCCCATACATCAGCGACCTCCTACGTTCCCAACCGCCTCTTCACCCTTGCTGTCATTATACTGCGCTTCCGCCCACTCGTTCAAATATGCCATACGCCGGAACGCGTTGGCGAAAGATTGCAAGACCAGCCCGTGCTCGACGCTTTGCGGCAGTGGCAGCACGACGGCGGTCGCATAACTGACATCGTGCGTGGCAGGAGGAGGGGGGGAGGGGGGGGAGGGAGGAGGAGGGGAGGAGGGGAGGAGGAGGAGAGAGGGGGAGGAGGAGGAGGAGGAGGAGAGGAGGAGGAAGGAGGGGAGGAGGAGGAGGAGGGGAGGAGGAGGAGGAGAGAGGAGGAGGAGGAGGAGGAGGAGGAGAGGAGGAGGAGGAGGAGGAGGAGGAGGAGGAGGAGGAGGAGGAGGAGGAGGAGGAGGAGAGGAGGAGGAGGAGGAGGAGGAGGAGGAGGAGGAGGAGGAGGAGGAGAGGAGGAGGAGGAGGAGGAGGAGGAGGAGGAGGAGGAGGGGGAGGAGAGGAGGAGGGGAGGAGGAGGGGGGAGGAGGAGGAGGGGAGCAGGATGAGAGGAGGAGCAGGAGGGGGAAGGAGGAGGAAGAGGAGGAGGGGGAGGGGGAGCAGGAGGAGGGGGGGAGGAGGGGGGGAGGAGGAGGAGGAGGAGGGGAGGAGGAGGAGGAGGAGGAGGAGGAGGAGGAGGAGGAGGAGGAGGAGGAGGAGGAGGAGGAGGAGGAGGAGGAGGAGGAGGAGGAGGAGGAGGAGGAGGAGGAGAGGAGGAGGAGGAGGAGCAGAGGGGAGGAGGAGGAGGAGGAGGGGAGGGGGAGCAGGAGGAGGGGGGGGAGGAGGAGGGGAGGAGGAGAGGAGGAGGAGGAGGAGGGAGGAGGAGAGGAGGAGAGAGGAGGAGGAGGAGGAGGAGGAGGAGGAGGAGGAGGAGGAGGAGGAACACACGGGGTCAGCGAAGGCAGAACGACACGAACGCGCACTGGTGAGAGGCGGCCCTCGAGGGCGCCGGGCCCACGAGGGGTTCTCTGCCGGGGCGGCTCCCCCACGGCGCGCGGAGGCCCGGCGCGGTCCCGGCCCGGTGGGCGGGCGCCCGGCGCCCGGCCCGGCGCGTGCAGGGCCCTCGGGGTGGGTGCCCGGCCCTCGCTCGGAGAGCGACGTTCGATGCAGAGCCCGTCCGCTGCCGCGCCCGACGTCTTTCGGTATAGCCTCTACGGGGGGGCTCCCAGACGGTGCGGTGGCCACACCGCGCGGTGAGTCGGTGGGGATGCGGGGTCACCGCACGGTGTTGGGACTCGGGTCGTCCTCCGAGGATGTCTCGGGCGGCAGGGGCCTCCGGGGTCCCAAGACCGTGCGGTGACGGACCCGGGGGATTTCGAGGGCACCGCACGGTCCGTCACCGCACTGCTCTGGGACTCCAAAGAGCCTGGTATGCCTGGGAGATCTTTCGGTAGCACGTCATGGGAGCCTGGTGTGCCCTCCGAATCCCGTCTTTGGCGTCGACTAGCGTCGACGAGCGTCCTGGGGTCGATAGAGGTGGTGCCGATTTGGTGTCGAGTGGCGTCGTTTCAGCGTCGAGTTAGCGTACAGTTAGCGTACAGTCGCGTCGATTCGCAAATGCCGCCGAACTTTCTGGCTGGTCAGGGGGGCAGGCCAGGGCTCCGAGACGTGGCGTCCAGAGGCCGGACTTTCTGCCCGTGCCCCTGCAGTCAACCGGGCATTTTCGTTTCAGGTGGAGGTCGACGGGTGACATTTGAAATGCCGCTTCGATGGATTTTCGAGGTATGAATCTGCACAAATGTGCATCACAAGACGGCTTGGTTTTCGAGGTGCAGAAGCCCATATGGATTTCACCGCGAGCCCTCCATCCTGAGAAAATGCTCAGGTCAAGACGCTGAAAGACAGGACTCCCTTGGGCTCAGGACGGGGCTCGGGCTCCTGGGCCGTTCCTTAGAGTGCGAAGGTCTTACGGCCGGTGCCGCCGACTCTGAAGAAGACGACCCTGACCACGACGCGATAGAGGAACGAGGAGGAGGAGACGCAGGAGGAGGGGGCGGAAGACAACGCCGAGGAGGTGGATGAGGTGTAGGTTTAAGTCGGGCCTGTCCCTCTACAGGGGGAACATTCAAGAATAGTCAGAAATAGTCAGGGGACGATTTTTTTTGACAGTGCTTGCGCACTTTTGGGACCCACGAAGGGAATCAGAGTATTGAGATTTGAGCACCGTGGAGCATTGAGATCCGAGTGTAGGTCTGTGCCGTGGAGCGTGTCCGTGGCCCCGGCCCGCCGCGGCCGGCAGAGAGAGCTCCTCCGTGTCCCCGATGGCGCGTGCTTCCCTCGCGGCACGAGAGCACGGCGGCCGTTCCACCCCCCGTTGCTGCCCCTCACTCCTGGCCAGCAGGGGGGGGCAGAGCTCAGTGGGCCCTGGAAACGACAGGGCCGTTTTTTTACTGGTTCCGTTTTGCCGTTTTTGTTGCCGGTTCCGACGCCTTTTTTTTGCCGGTTCCGTCGCCGTTTTTTTACAGGTTCCCGCTCCGGTTCAAATCCTGGAGCCGTTGTTGTTGCCGTTTCTGGTCGCCGATTTTTTGTTGTTTCCATTTTCAAGGGACTCTTTTTCGAAAGCGGTGAAAAAACGGCCCTGCCGTTTCCGGGGCCCACTAAGGGGCAGAGCATCTGCAAGAGACGTGGTCTGGGCCTCCCAGATGGGGCCGGGCCGGCTGGGGTCGGAGGATCGCGCTGCACCGTCGATGCATCGGCGATGCGGCTCGAGGGGGAGCCCGATTCTCTTCACGCCGAGGGCGCCGATGCATCGCCGACATCGCCGATGCATCGCTGGGTGCATCGCCGATGCATCGCCGATGTGGCGCGACCCTCCGACCACATCTACTCCGACCGAATCTAGAAGGTCTCTAATGACGATGGTGAGAGGGTTAAGGGCAGCGAGGGAAAGGAGGAGGACAAGGAGAAGGACAAGGAATGGAGGGGAGGAGGAGGAGGAAGCGAGGAGGAGGGGATGGGGAGGAGAAGGACAGGGAGGGGAGGGGAGGAGGAGGACACGGAGGGGAGGAGGAGGAGGAGGAGGAGGATTCGCTCTTGTCCATGCCCCTGCTCCGCCCCCTCGGTAGGGTCCTGGCGCGAGCAGGGGCGCGGCAGGTGCGTGCCGTGCGTCGGCGCGGCGACAGACCCCCGCGCGGGCGTTCCAAGGTGGAACGCCTCCAGCGTGCCAGAAATCCGCCAGCGTGAAAACGATCTGGCGATCGAGAGATCGCCGATCGTTCAAGAGTCGGGTATAGCCAGGATCGAGAAATCGCCGATCGTTCAAGAGTCGGGTATAGCCAGGACCCCAGGGAAGGGGACCCGGTCAGCGGTGGGGCCTCGGAGCCCCCCAAATTGGCCAGAATCACATCACCAGGTCTGCCGTAGCTCGTGTTTTTTTCGGGTGACGGCAGTTCTGGTTAGTGGAACGGGGCGGGGGGGCGTCCCCCAGTACACATCACGAAACCAGGTCCCACTAAACCCAGTTCTGCTAACGCCCGAAAGAGAGAGAGAGAGAGAGAGAGAGAGACAGAGAGAGAGAGAGAGCGGTCCACGCGGTGTCAAGAACCAACGCCGAAGTCGTCACGACGTGAACCTGCGGTATGGATAAGACGTTGATCGCCTCCTCGCGGACGCGCCGGGAGGCGCGATGTACGTGCCACTGCCGGCGGCCGAGATCAGCGTCGGGGAGGGCGGCGGCGCGGAGGACTTTCTGCCCGCGGCGGGGGGGGGGCTGCCAGACTTCAGGAGGGTCGAGGCCTCTTGAAGAGCGGAACGGAGATTGTCTGAAGTCGGGCCCATCCTTCTACAGGAGGAATATTCAAACAAATTAACAATAGTCAGGGGACGAGTTGTTTTATGTACTATTTTGGATCATGTTTGGAATCTGAGAGTATTTTAATTTTTTCGCCCCAAAACCCCCTGTAGGGGGACAGGCCCGACCTAAGATCAAGAACCCGGAGCCGCAAGCTAGCCCCGAAGCTCGTTCAGGCTTCCGGCAGGACGCCTCGGTGGGGCTCCTGTGAGCTTTTGACATGTCCCGAGAGGCCTGTTCCAGGCGTTTCCCAATACGTATGCCTGTCAGCTCCCCAGAAGCTCCTTCGGGAGCACCTTCCAGGAGCTTCCAGAGCTCCTTCGAGAGGCCTTTGCGCGCCCTTCTGGCGCTCCGCTGTCCGGGTCTTGAGTTCCACAAGCGGTTCTGCATGAGAGTCTCAGAGGGTCATCAAAGTGTTTGCGGCTTGGGTATTTGTTGTCGGATTTCGCTGGGTTAGATCGACGTTTTGTACGACATTTGGACGGCAGGTGAAGAGGAGAGCGGGCGGAATCTGGACGACATCTGGTCGAAGTCACGCTTATGATGGGGCCGCGGAGGTCCACAGAGGCCCCCTATGAGGGCTCACCCAGCGGAGACCTAAGTGAGTGTGGCCAAAACGCTGAAGGAAGGACTACTGTGACGCTGTTGAGAGGGAGGATGGCGGCGAGGACAAGGAGGAGGACAAGGAGAATGACAAGGAGGCGAGGGGAGGAGGAGGAGGAGGAGGAGGAGGCGAGGAGGAGGGGAGGGAGAGGACAAGGAGGGAGGGGAGGAGAAGGACGTGGAGGGAGAAGGAGGAGGAGGGGGAGGAGGAGGAGGAGGAGGAGGAGGAGGAGGAGGCGAGGAGGACTCCGACACCATCTGGGACGCCTCTCACTATGGGCTCAGCAGGGGCCGTGTCTCTCGGAGCAGACCTGGGATGCAGGTCGGTAGCCTCCCAGCGGCCGAGGGTCGCCGGGGCCAGCCATGGTCCCAGCATTCCTCCCCCTCCCCCTGCCCCTCCTCCTCCTCCTCCTCCTCCTCCTCTTCCTCCTCCTCCTCCTCATCCGCCTCCTCCTCCTCTTCCTCCTCCTCCTCCGCCTCCGCCTCCGCCTCCTCCGCCTCCTCCTCCTCCTCCCCTCCTCCCTCCTCCTTCCTCCTCCCCCTCCCCCTCCTCCTCCTCTTCCTCCTCCTTCTCCTCCTCCTCCTCCTCCTCTTCCTCCTCCTCCTGGCCCCCCTGGCCATCACTCGGTGGCGAGCGAGGGGGGCAAGTGAGAAGGAATAGGCCTTCTCAGAAGGCGGCCGGACTTCTCAGAAGAAACCGTCGCGCCTTCTGAAAAGTTCTTTGTTGTCTTCCGGGAGGGCTCAGAGAACTTCTCAGAAGGCCGGGGAACTTCCGAGTCTTCTGAAAAGGCCCTCTCCATCTCACTTCCCCCCTTCGCTTGCCGCCATCATTGTTCCTTTACATACACGTGTGTTTTATCCCCTGGTCATCACGGGCGTGACCAGGGGGGGAGGGACGGTAGAAGGAAACAATCAGTGGACACTCCCTCGCTCCCCGAAACTCAAAGCTGGCACGCCCGGGAAAGACTGTGGTCGAAGTGCAGCTCGTTCAGCCCACCGCCAGCATGGATCGGTGGAGGGGGGCGGTATTGGTAGATGAATGCGGCACGAGCGTTCGCAAGTTTCCTCCGGGGCCTGTCACGGGCGCGACCAGGGGGGGGAAGGGAGGGGGGGAGCAGGGGGGGGGGGCGGTCACGGCACGAGTCGTGCCGGCGCCGCCCGGGAGTGCCCAAGGAGAATGGCCCACATGCCCAGACGGCGCCAGCGCCCGAATGGCCAGACGGGGCGGAGCCAGGGGTCGGCCAGGGCCGGTCACGGGCGTGGTGGTGATGAACAACAGGGCTTCTCATGGTAGCATTCTTCGTGGTCGCATTTGTTCGTTGAGCAGAGCGAGGAAAGCAGCAGTCTTCAACGCGTGCATGGTCTCCAAGCTCGTGTACTGTCTGTTTCCAGCTTCTCTCAATCAGGCGGAACGCAGAGGGCCTGACGGCTCCCAGGCACGCTGCTTGAGATCTCTATATTTCGGATCCCATCTGCTTCTACCGGTCGCGCGTCGAACAGCGCCGTGCTAAACATGGCCGGCGGACGGCCGCTCGGCGAGCTCCTCGTCAGACACCGGATGATTCTCTTTGGGCAGCTCGCTATAGACGCGCGGGCAACGATCCAGTGAGGCAGTCCTTATTTGAACCAGGCAGTCTAGCTCCCCAGACCCCCTCGAGTCGTGAAAAAATCACGACGTAAGGTTTTTCGCTATTTTCGGCCTCCGGGGGCCCTTACCGGCCCTCAGGACCGTCAAAAAACGACTCAGGATGAAAAACCAGTCCCGGGGAATGGGTCCGGACCTCTGGGGGTCGCGTCATGAAAAAATCATGACGTCGGGGGTCTGGGTCTCAAGCAGCCGACAGGTCCGCAGAAGAGAGGGCGCCCCCGGCAAATGTGGGGAAGCATGGTCATGAACGGGTTCTTGGACGTTGCTGGCACCTCTGCCCGGCTTGCTGACTTCTTCCGCCCGGAGGGCGGTGCAGCGCCGGGATGGGAGTCAGCTGTTCGCGCATGGCACCTGTGGTGTCTTTGCTGTTGCATACTCTCTTGCTTGCGCACCGTCTGGTGCAAGGCGACCTGACTGCCTGACTGCCTGACTGCCTGACTGACTGACTGACTCTCATTGTAGCACAAGGACTGGACGATTTCACGCGGTGCTCGAGAGAGCACGTTTCCCGAGCGCTCGTGGCTGATGCTGATGCTCTGGGGGGGGCCTGTGCTCAGGTGAGGCTGCAGCACCGCTCAACGATGTGCTGTCAACCGGAGCTGCAGGGTGGACCTTTTCCACTTTCTGTGCACTTCAGCTTTGGCTTTGGATTCAGCTGCAGATGCAGTGTGAAGCGCCTTCAGGCCAGCTCACTCGAGTCGGATTTTCCGCTCGCACGGGTGCTCCCCTCCCCCCCCCCCTCGTGGCGAGAGTGCGGCCTCGCGCAGCGACTCGCGCCGTGATGGGACATTCATGTTGGCGGGCTTCGTGCGCCCTTTCTGGCCTCCCTGCTCTGCGAGTGTCGTTGGGTGGGCCACTTCGGGCCCCCTGGGCGAGAAGGCACCCGTGTGCCACCACCGTGCCTGTCCAGGGCCACCTCCCGTAATTAAAACAAGAGCGGCATAAGCATGATGTCTCCGAGCTCCGCGCGGCTTTCGGGTATCGGCGCTGCGCCCCCCGGCGGCGCCTCCGTCGCTGCCCCGGGCGCGCTCCGCGCGCCAGGGAGGGGGGTCCCGCGCCGACCCGAGGAATCCCCGCGGAGCTCCGACAGTTGACATTTCCACAGTTTCTGTTCGGTTTTTAAGGTCAGCCATTTCGGGCTTCCTGGGCACAGAAGGCACCTGTATGCATCTCACGGGTTGCCCTCGCAGCCTTGGCCGGCTCTCTCTCTCGGAAGCCTGGTCGGAACGCGCCTTCCTAGCCCCTTCTGAGCGCGCCGGGGACATACGCCTTTCCAGCCCTCAGACGTCACGACAAAAGGAAGAAGCTTAGTAGGCCACAGAAGCAGCAGGGCAGTTTTTCGATTATTTCTGCAACAGTGCCTCTTGAAAATGGGGACTGTTAGCCAAAAGCGGCCGGAAACGGCAAAAACGGCGGAATTGTGGAAAACATGCGGTGACGGAGACGGGAAAACAATTGCTCTGGGACCGGCAGAGAAAACACTACAACACGGAACTGGTAAGGAAAATGGCCCTGTCGTTTCTAGGGCCATCTAAGGGAGCAGCCTTCTTGGCGTTCCCTTATTCAAGCTTGGACGCCTCAGGGCCCGTTCTGGGCGTAGGGGGCCGACCGAGAGTGGCCACAACGAGCCTTCCGCCTCGACCTTTCATCTCGACCTTCGATTCCCCCTGCACCTCTCCACCCTCCCCCTGCTGCTCATTCGCCTCCTCCTCCTCCTCTTTTCGCCTGTGCGTGCTGCTCCTATTTTCCGATTGCGCACAGAACTGTGGGGTCTTCTTGGGAGCTCCAGGTCCGCTGTGACGCGCGTCCGCGGACAGAGAACAATTGTCAGCGCAGTGGGAGGTTGCTTGTTGGCATTGCGACGCTGATTAGTTTGGGAGCCTGTCAGCAGAGGCTGGCACGCAACTCGTAGAACATTGGCTAGGCGAACGAGATCCTGCTGGGGCGCCACGGTTGACAGCGCAGCACAGCAGCAAAGTGGAGGCACAGTACCAGTCATGGCAGCAGGGCGGGCTGCAGTGCACGACATGGGACATGATTTACCGCGGTCTGGCGGCGTAGGATGTCAGATGTGGCGCGAGCGCACCTCGGTTGTCGTTCCCCCTCTCCACTCCAGTGGGCGCACGGCCGCAAGAAGCCGTCGCAAGAGACCCAGCCCTGAAAATCCACAGAGTTTCTTGCCCAGGGTCTGGGTTTCCTGTCCAGGGGCTCGAAGCGCAGAAACCCCTTCGCCTCGAGCCCCCTGGGCCAAGAAGCCCAGACTCTTGGCAAGAAACTTCGTGGATTTTCAGGGCTGGGTTTCCTGCGACGGTCTCTTGCGGCCGTGCGCCCACTGTACCTCCCCCCCCCGCTGCTGCACCTCCTCCCAGGACGGCCCCGCCGACGCGCCGCGCGGCCTCGAGATCCGCGGCGGCGGCGGCGGCCAGGCGTCCCGCGAGACCTCCGGGTGCGGGAGGGGCCCCGGCCGAGCCAGGCAGATCCGCACCGACCCGGTGGATCCGACCCGACATGCGCACATGGCACCGCGCAGCTGCGGACAAGTTGGGCGTTGCGTAGGGGGGGGGCGATCATCCCGAAGAAGAAAACCACAGAAGCATAAACTTTTGGCGCTCCGCGCGGATTTCTTGGATCCGCGCTTGGGCCCTCCGGCGGCGCCTCTAGCGCCGCCCCTGGCGCGCTCCGCGCGCCAGGGAGGGGGACCCAGCGCGAATTCAAGAAATCCGCGCGGAGCGCCAAAAGTTTATGTATGTGTGTGTTCTTCTTTATAATCGGGGAAACGTAAGACTCGAGTGCGCCAGACCTCGGGTTCGCCTACGCTTTTTGGCGAGCGCGTCCCGAGTTTTGACGGTCCGCTCTTCGTGGGATGCCCGCAGCAGGAGCTCGCGCCAAGCTTCAGATTGGGCCTCGTCATTTCCATGATGGCCGCGTCAGTCCAGCCCGAGTCCCCAGGGCCCGAGTCTTGCGTCTCCCCGAGACAAGTGGGGAGGGGTGGCGAAAGGTGCACCTCTGGTGCCCGAAAGGGTCTCTGCAGGAGAGGAGCCTCCTGGGAACCGAAAAGGGCACGGACGGAGCACAGTATCCTCCCTCATCCCCCCATATATCCAGCTTAGGATGCAACGCCCAAGTATGAGTGAGGGTGCGGGCGCGGGCTGGGTCGCGGGTGGGTCGCGTGTGGCTTGCGGTGTGCTGGTTTGTCGCGGGGTAAGTCGCGGGTGGGTCGCGAAGGTGGCGGCGGCAAAAACGACAACAGCAACAACAACAACAACAACAGCAACCACAACAACCGAGGGTGGCGGCGGCAAAAAACGACAACAGCAACAACAACAACAGCAACCACAACAATCAACACCACCACCGCAACAACAACAAACAACAACCACCACAACAACAACAACAACAACAACAACAACAACAACAGCAGCAGCAGCAGCAGCAGCAGCAGCAACAACGAACAGCAAATATTTTGAACCCACCCGCACACACAGGGATTGTGTAAGATTGTACGGCCCCCTCGATCTTACATCGATCTCGGCCTGCTCGACCCGAATAGATTACTATGATTCACCCTGTCCGATCTGGCCCGACGCGTGCACGGCGCGATTGTGCATCCTGGCGCGCCCGATCCGATTCGATTCCGGCTCCGTGCTGGTGCCGTCCGATCTGATGCAGAGCCCGCTCTGATCCGGCTTCCCGATTCGATGTTGGTTGATCCTGGCAAGGAGGAGGGGGAGGAAGGGAGATGAGGAGTGAGATCGGGGATGCTTTCGCATTTGTTCTTGTTCGTGCCTCCTGGGGTGCTACCACGGCCACGGCTGGTGTCTTCTCGACGTTTTGGGCGGAACGCCCCGCCATGAGAGGCCTGGGCTGTCGACTGTCGACTTTGAGGGAGGAGGACCCAGACCTTGAACGTCATGAGCAAGTAGAGCGAGTATCTTGCTTTTCATCACCTCCGGGCCCCAGGGGCCGTTGTGGGGTCCTTGGGCCGTGGAACGGCGATGCACGACGGAGAAGCTGTCCTGGATGAGCGGTCGGGACTTGTGACAAGCCGCGGCACTGGAGGTCAGGGGGGGGCGACGCAGATGACGGGCTCGATTGCGCCGACATTGGCGCGTGAGCTGCCCGCGTAAGGTTTCGCGTGAGCGCCCTCGTTTCCAATGAGGCGTGCCGCGCCGGCGGCCTGCGTGAGCCGCCGCGTAAGGTCGCAATGTGCTGTCGCGTAAGACCCGTTTCTCTTTTTCGTCGCTCCAGAGGGGAGGGTGGGTCGAGGATCGAGACATCTCGAGGATCGAGGATCGAGGATCGAGGGGGGGGGGTCGAGGATCGAGGGGGGGGGTCGAGGATCGAGGATCGAGGCGTCTCTGCTTCCCGCAGTGTTCTGCCCTTTGCTTGCCTCCGAGGGGGCCTGCGGAGACCTCCTCCTCCTCGTGCTGCTGCGCCACTGCGCTGCTGCTGCGCTGCTGCTGCTGCTGCGCTGCTGCGCTGGCGGGCTCCTCCTCCTTCCCTGGTTGGGCAATCTTCGGCGGTGTAGCTGAAGCGTTCGAGGAAAAAGGCGCCGTGAATGTGCAGCGACTCGGGCACAGCAGCAACACTTGAGGCCTTGGACAGGTTCTTCCTCCTTCCTCCTTCCCCCCGCGCCCCCCCCCCCGCACGCGGAGAGTGAGGAGGAGTAGGAGGAGGAGGAGGAGGAGGAGGAGGAGGAGGAGGAGGAGGAGGAGGAGGGAGGAGGAGGAGGAGGAGGAGGAGGCGGAGGCGGAGGCGGAGGGGGAGGAGGAGGAGGAGGAAAAAGGAGAGGGGGAGGAAGAGGTGGATGGGGAGGGGGAGGAGGAGGACAAGTTTAAACCCAAGCCTCATCAACGATGTTGGAATGAGACCTCACTTCAAGCTCCCTCGTCACAGGCCTCATACAAGGATTCATTTCCTTTGAGGGAGGTGCCCAGTTGCGAGACAACCGTTCGAAGATCCTGAAGCGTGCCACCACTCGCGGGACTCCAACGTCACGAATTAACCTGACGGTTGCGTTTTGACGACTTTGAATCCTGCCAGAACACCATTCCTCGGACTCCAACACCGCGAATGAACGTAAATGTGGTGGTGCTAACCATTCGAATCCGTGAAACTCTTGCAGATGTTCAGACGACTGTGCGCCGGACGGGCTCAATTCCATCGATCCTGTCGGAACCGCTCGCATCTAAAGCGCAGCGGATCTTCTGCATGTGCGCCAGCACGGCCCGTGTTGCCTTGGGGCGCCTGCGCCCCAACGGCAACTCTCGCAGGATGTTTGGGCTTGCTCTGCCATCCGAAACGTTTTTGTTGGCCGCGAGGTAAAACGCTGCCGACGTGCTGGCTCGCCGGCGCTCGGTCTGCATCGTCTCCCTGGCCTGTGAATCCCTGTGAGGCCGCGGCCAGGCACTGCGGACAAGGTGCTCTCTTTTCCAGGCGCCAGTTGGTCGCCTGCGCGACTCGCTCGCCCATTTCGCGGCCCAACGGGCTCCGACGCCGAACGGGCTGAGCAGGCAACCGTGGGCGTCCTGGGCTTGGTGGGCCCAGGAGGCTCTGGCGAGCTCCAGGTGCTCGATGCTGAGCCAGCCTGGTTGGTCAATTCTCGATGCCCAGCGCAGAGATGATGTGATGTAGCGAGTCCTCTATGATTACATTCGTTGCCAAAATCTATGCGGCACCCCGACTGCAGGCCGAACGCAGGAACTCGCGGACGCGCGGATAAAACAAACACAACCGTGGGGCCCCATCGGCCCCAGCGCCCGTGGCCCGCGGACCGGGCCGACGGGCGTCGCCAGGGGCTCTTCCCCGCGCCCCACGGCTGCCGCGCGGGCCCGCCGCTGCCGCCCGCCCTGCCGCCGTCCTCGCCGCTGCCGCCCTCGCCGCCGCCGCTGCCGCCGCCCTCGCCGCCGCCGCCGCCCTCGCCGCCGCCGCCCTCGCCGCCGCCGCCGCAGTCGCCGCCGCCTCCGCCGCTGCCGATGCCGTCGCCGCGGGCCGCGGCCCTTCGCCGCCGCCCCTTCTGCCTCCCAGAGAGCGGCGCAAGGCCGTGCGCCTGCGCGGTGGCAGCGCGGCGGAGGAGCGGCGCTGGGCGCAGGCGCCGCGGCGGCACGCGCGGGCGCCCTGACGGCGACGGCGTCGCTCCGCAGGCTCGTCGGCGTGCCTGGAGGTTGGCGTTGCCACGGCTGGACTCGGCTCGCGTCCGGGGGATCTGGACCGGGTGGGGAGCAACAGGGGCTGCTTTCTCAGAGTGCACGGGGTCGTCTCAGGGGGGACGGGTTTCTCTTCCATCTGTCTTCGCCCTGCGCCTGCCAGGGTCGCGGGCGGGAAGCGCGTCCATGTCTCATGCTCATTGCCTCACGGTTCGGACTCCTAAGCCGTGGCGTCACAGATACAGGAAGGCTTTGCGTGGGTGCCCGCGAGGAACGTACCCATTCGCATCGCGCGTCCATGGGGATCGCGCCTCGGTGTGCAGTCCGCGAGGGCATGAAGATGTCCAATGGAAGCCGCTCAGAATCGGTCCGTGCATTATCGAGGGCCTCTGCTTGCGTCTCTGTGTGAACACATGTTTGGCCCTCGCTTTACTAGTTGTGAGTTTTACCCCTCCTTCCCTACCTCGTCTCCTCCTCTTGCCGCCTGCGAGTTGTCCCTCTAGCCCTGCCAGGGTCTGAAGCAACGGATGCGCGTGACGGCCGTTTTTGGCAAACGCGTTGCCCACTCCTTTGTTTCCACTCCTGCTCCTCCTCCTCCTCCTCCTCATCCTCCTCCTCCTCCTCCTCCTCCTCCTCCTCCTCCTCCTCCTCCTCCTCCTCCTCCTCCTCCTCCTCCTCCTCCTCCTCCTCCTCCTCCTCCTCCTCCTCCTCGTCTGCCTTCTCCTCCGCCCCCTCGGTTTCACGCGTCTTTGGCTGCAGACCTCTTCGGGCAAGCTCAGGGGCCTCCCGCCTGCCTGCCTGAGCTGCGCCGCCGCTGCAGGCTCGCCGCTCCGCCGCCGGGGCGCGGCGCTGGGGGCCGTCGGCCCTCCCCCGGGGGGCGAGGGCGGCTCGCGAGGGCGGAGCGTGCGCGGCAGGCCTGGGTGGACCTGCTGGCCTCGGCCGCGCTGCCCCTTGCTTTTTTGGGCCCGCAGCGGGCGGGTGGCCGCGGAAGGGGCCCTCTTGCCCCACCCTGCCCCGCCGTCTCCTCGCCCCCCCCTGTCCCGCCCCAGAGCGGAGGACGGCGCCCGCCCGCTCCCATCCTCGTGCGCCCGCCCTCCCCCAGCGCAGGTGCTGAGCCGCCAGGCCCGCCAGCCCGGCGCCGGCTTCCTCTCCGTGCGCGAGGCCCGCGCCACCGTCCTGCCGCCGCCGCTGCGCCGCCGTTGCGCCGCCGTTGCGCCGCCGTCGTCGCTGCCGCTGCCGCCGCCCTCGCCGCCGCCGCCGCCCTCGCCGTCGCCGCCGTGGTGGCCGCCGCCGCCGCCTCCGCTGCTGCCGCTGGGGGCGGTGGAGAGCGGGAGCAGCGTAGGATTAGGAGGGTCGAGGGGGAGAAGGAGGAACGGGGGTCGTCGCGGTGCGCGGCTTCGTCGCCGCGGTGCTGTGTTGGTCAGGGGGTGGCAGCCGGCGGCTGTTTGCAGAAGCCGTTGCGCTTTTGCAGGAGGGGCGGGCGCTCGCGCGCGCTTCGCTGCGCGTTTGGTTTCCTGCGCTCGCTGATTGCTGCCTCGTCGGCGGTCCTCCTCATCCTCAGCCCTCCACCCTCCCTGCTCCTCCTCTTTTCCCCCACGCTCTTCCTTATCGTGCGTCTTTGATGGGCCAATTTTCCACCACCACCACCATAGGTAGGAGGAGGAGGCGGAGGAGGCGGAGGAGGCGGAGGAGGAGCAGGAGGAGGAGCAGGAGGAGGAGGAGGAGGAGGAGGAGGAGGAGGCGGAGGAGGAGATCTCCCTCATCCTACCCATGGTACTGGAGGTGGACAATTTGCCCGTCAGTCTTTCTGATGCGGGTGGACTGTGGTCGGCGGCGCCCGCGTCCGCGGGAGCAGCGCCCCGCAGCTCGCGCGGACCCTCCCCCACGCTCTGCCCTTTGGGCCGCGGCGCCCGCTGTCGTTGAGAACAGAAGGACCCCTATCCCCAAGAACACGATGAAGACGTGGCCTTAATTGAGGTCCTCGTCGTTGCAGTCGGGATCATGGATCTGGGCGGTTTGGTTCGAGGCATTCTGCAGAAAAGACCCCCCTTATCCCTAGCCCTATCCCTACAAGGCCCCCTCCCAACTGGTTAGGGGTCCTTTTTTTCTGCTTGCTCACGCTGGCCGCGCGCCGCTCCCACCGACAGCCGCCGCTCCCGCCGCCCTGTCCCCCCCCTCCGCAGGGCGACCGGGGCCTCCTGGGCAAGGCGGGCTGCCCTGGGGTGAGGGGTTGCGAGGGAGGAGGGGGCCCCCCCAGAGCTTGTTCTGCGTGTAAAGGAAAGTAACATTCAGGCAAGTTTACTTGCATGGCGTTCGCCCCCCGAATACTGGCGTGTGCAAGTGCCTTTTGACTTGCGTGATCTTCGCACGTGCAAGTCGTTTGCGGCTTGCTTCAGGTTCAGTTCCCCCCCCGTACATGCAAGAAAACTTGCCGGAGGCTGGAGTCTAAGAAAAAACGCCCCCAGGGAGCTGACGCTACAAAAAAAACTCGGGCGGCGGGTTCTTAGCCGTTCTAGGCCTCCTGGGGCCCTCGCCGGACCTTGGGACCGTCAACCAACGATTCAGGACGAAAAGCCGGCCTTGGGTAAGTTGTCCAGACCTCCGGGGCCCACGCCTCGAAAAAATTGGAGCAGCCATATGTCTGGGTCAGACCCCCTCGCGAGTCGTGGAACAATTCACGACGGAAGGTTTTTCGCTACCTTCGGCCTTTGGGAGCCCTCGCCGGGCCTCGGGGCCGTCAAACGACGGCTCAGGTTGAGAAGCGGATCTCGAGGAGTGGCAGCTGGAGCCGACGGCATCGGCAACGCTGCGGCTTGAGCCTGCAGGTCAGTTTCTGGGTGGTGAGCGCCGCCGAAGGCACCGTTGCTGCAATGACCGCCGCCTGCAGACCGCTTGTGTCGCCGCGACACGCCGACTACTGTGTGAGCTTTAGGATATTCGACTTTAGCTCGAGCGGCATTCATCTCATAACGATTGCGCGGCCCCCCCTCCATAAACGCGTTAAGAAACATCGAGCAACGTCAACCCCTTCCCCATCACCAGGATTGGTCATGGTGCCTGACGATTGTTGCTGATGTCCCGAAGGCCTGGAAAGGGCGCCGAGATGCCGAGCAGCACTACCGACTTGTTTTGTGAGTCGCCAGATGTCTGAGTCCCTTGGAGGTCCCCGAGGTTCCCGTCGTCGGCCCGCGGAGTTCCAGCAAGGGCCAACAACATTAAAACGGAGTAGTTCTGGACGTTCCTCCTTTTCCTCCTCGACCCACCCTTTGGAGGGGATCACCTGATGCTAGCGTTCAGCCATGACGTGCTGTCGTTGCGCCTCGTATTAGCGAGCGCACCGTTACCATCGCCATCGTGGGTCTGTGCTTCGGTATGGCTGGTACGATACCCGTTGAGCATATAGCTGTCATCATCGTCGCCATACCGACCATGCTCATACGTATTCATCAACGTCATTCTCGCCATCATCATCATCGTCCTTGTCGATATCGTTGCGGTGACGAGTTCTACCAGCACTCTCCGATGAGGAGGAGGAACAGGATACCGGTGCCAGCGACCGCGGCCAGGTGGGCGCGCGGTGGCGACGGTACTACTGCGCCGCCCGCTTAGCCGGCCGTCGTGGTAGGTGCGTGAGGTCCTTCGGCGCCCGAGTAGCACGCTAAGCCACGGCCTCGCCGCGGCCGGACTCCTCGACCGCGACCCCCTGGATACGGGGCGGCTTTGCGCGGATTCCCTGCGCCGAGCGTATTCATGGGGTCGCGCATCCGCTGGATCGCGCCTCGGTGTCTGGACCGCGAGGGCATGGATGTGGACATGTCCGTCGCTCGTCAGCGGGCCGGGGGAGGGGGAGGGGGAGGAGGAAGGGGGAGGACGAGGTGGAGTTTGCAGTTGGCACGAAGATTATGATGTTCCATTGAGCGACAGTGGAAATAACGGGTTTATCTGCGCCGACGTTCGCGCGTAAGCTGCTCGCGTAAGGTCGCGCGCCTAAGCGCCCTCGTGCCCAATGTGGCGTGCGGCGCCGGCGGCCCGCGTAAGCTACTGCGTAAGGTCGCTACAGTCTGCCCGCATTAGAAGGATGGGCAGCCTTCCCAAGGGTACCGCTGCACCCCTGCCTCCTCGGTCCACCCGTGGCCGCTCTCGCCGGCCGCGCCCCGCTCGCAGAGCGTCGGCATGGCCTCCCGAGGCCCTTGCATCCTTATCGTGCGTCCTCGTGCTATGGGTTGACCGTGCAGTGCGGGCGCGGCCGCAAGAAACCCTCGCAAGAAACCCAACGCTGAGAGCTCGTGCGCGAAGTGCACCTGAGGGGAAACCTGGAGCACCCTGAACGCAGCAGCTCCTTCAACTGCTGCGGGAGGTCACCGCGCAGCGCGAGGAGCGAAGAAACCCAGGATACCCTGACGAAAAGCATATGGTTTCTTGATGCGCGCCCCCACTGTATGTCATCTCGCGCGAGACCCCTTTCCGTTCGCCGTTCCATTGGGCGGCGGCCGCCCAGCCGCCCGGGCCGCCGCGGTCGGCTGTGCCTCGTCCCAGCCCAACTCTTTCACCAGCAGCCTGGTGAGGCTGCGGCCGCCTGCCGCTGTTCATGAAGTGGAGGATGAGGAGGAGGCGGAGGAGGCGGAGGAGAAGGAGGAGGAGGAGGGGGAGGAGGAGGAGGAGGCGGAGGAGGAGGAGGAGGAGGAGGCGGAGGAGGAGGAGGAGGAGGAGGAGGAGGAGGCAGCAGGCGCAGGCCTTTCGGCTGGAGCCCGTCTCCCCGTCCTCCTCGCTGCCCTGGGTGGCCGCCCCGGCCCGCTCACCGCCCGGAGCGCCTCTCTCCTCCTCCCCCCGCGCGGCCGCCCTCTCAAGAGGGGACAAAAGCACACAGACACAAGTCATCGTCGACGCCCAGGAAAACATATACGAAAATATGGGAAGTGGGGGGGAAGACGGAACCCAGAAAATATTTGGGAAACTATGGGGAATTCTGGGGGTCGTGCGTATCTATTTGTGTGTCCCGGGGCCCCTGGACCCTCCCCCCCCATCTCTTGCACGCTGGACAATTTGCCAATCGGGGCCCCCAGTTAATCAGCCCGACGCTGGTGCGGATCGCCTCCGCCTCGCTCTCCCCGTCACTTTCTCCAAGCCCCCTGCTCCTCCCCCCTCTCTCCAGGGCGCGGCTCGAGGGGAGCGTAGGGTCTCCTCTTCGGCTTGCCCTGCTCATGTGTCGCGGAGTGTCGCAGGGTGGTTTTGTTCCCCAATTCCCGAGCTTCGCCCGAAAAGTTTGGCCGCTCAGAAGACAAGGGAGCACTCTGGGATACGCCCCAGGAGGGCTGCTTGGACGCGCCGCTATCGAGGATGGACGCCCCCCCATCGTAAATCCGAAGGTTGGGTCTCAAGTTGCTGGTCCGTTCGAAAACCCCACGAAGCCTATGATAGAGGTCGACAGAGCTCTTGCTAAAGGTGATGATAGCTCTGCGGAGGTTTCAAGTTGTTGGTCCATTCGAAAACCCCACGAAGCCTATGATAGAGGTCGACAGAGCTCTTGCTAAAGGTGACGATAGCTCTGCGGAGTGTTGCTGGGCACCCGTGGGGCACCCCCGCCGCAACGGCCAGGCTCGCATCCGAGTGCTTGTCGGGGCGAGCGCCAGGACAGCTCGGGGGCCCGCCGCATCCCCAGACCTCCGTGGTCACGACAAAGACCTCTGTGGTCACGACAACATCCGCGACAGTGCCTTTGGATCTGGGCCCTCGCGGGCCGTGCCTGGGCGTATACTGCCTTTGCGGAAACCCACACTAGGTTTTGGGGGAACGCATCTTTGGCCGGGATGTTTGATGGGGGGTAGCTCTGCTGATAGTTGTTTTCATTGCACTAACAAGAAGATCATACTTTTATCTAGAGCAGCATGCTGCTTGATAGGGTCCTCTCATTACGTCCTCCAAGATCGCCTCAAGAGTGTCCTGATCCAAGGGCTGCTCTCCAGAGAGGGTCCGAAGGGCTTCCTGGACGGGAGCTTCTGGGCCTTGCACAGCACGGGGATCATGACGTTGGAGATTCGCGTCCCGAGGTCTCAAGCAGTGGCGGAGCGTTCTGACTTTCCCGTAAGCCCTGCCAGAGGGTGCTCTAAGACCCGCCTGTGGTTTGCACGGAATGTTCTGAAGGCATTTGGGGTTGAGAAGACCGTCCTGTTCTGCTGCATCGGCTTGATGTTCGAAGACAGCGCTGTCCTTGGAGAACTCTCTCGTTCTAAGAAAGTGGTGAACCTACACGCCAGTCGTTGAAAGTAGGTATTTCTGGGCTTCCAGGTCCCACTTTATTTCGAGCGCCTTCCTACTTCAAGAGTCGATCTGCTCTTGCCATGCTCGTTGTTCTCTGGGGGGGCCTGAACCCAAGTCTGCTTTACCCTCGTTCCAGGTTCATGCTTTTACGGTAGGTTCGCGTCGTGCCGACCGGCGGCGACCCCGCCGCGGGCGTTCAAGGTTGAACGCCGCCAGTGGCCCAGAATCGGCCTATATGGAACGATCGAGCGATCCACAGTCGCCGATCGTTCAAGGCTGAACGATCCATGCGGAGTCAGAAACCAACGCCGGTGTCGTCACGACACGAACCTGACGTACCTGCTTCCTTCCGACCGACGTGTCTTGGAGGAGGAGGAGGAGGAGGAGGAGGAGGAGGAGGGAGGAGGAGGAGGAGGGAGGAGGAGGAGGAGGAGGAGGAGGAGGAGGAGGAGGAGGAGGAGGGAGGAGGAGGAGGAGGAGGGAGGAGGAGGAGGAGGAGGAGGAAGGAGGAGGAGGAGGAGGAGGGAGGGAGGAGGAGGAGGAGGAGGAGGAGGAGGAGGGAGGAGGAGGAGGAGGAGGAGGAGGAGGAGGAGGAGGAGGAGGAGGAGGAGGAGGGAGGAGGAGGAGGAGGAGGAGGAGGAGGAGGAGGAGGAGGAGGAGGAGGAGGGAGGAAGGTCGGCCCCTGCTCGGCCGAGGTCGCCCGCGGCCAGGACCTGCTGGCCTTCGCGCTGCCGCGCAGCGGCATCGAGGGCGCGGCGCCGGAGCGCTCCTGGCCGCTGTCGGGCGCCACGCTGCGCGCGGCCGCGGCCGAGGAGCGCCGACGACGACGACGGCGACGACGACGACGACGAGGACGACGGCGACGGCGACGACGACGACGAGGACGACGACGACGACGATGCCGACGACGACGGCGACGACGACGACGACGACGACGGCGACGAGAGGAGGCTCCGCGCTTGGGGATCGATGTCCGCGGGGAGGTTTTCTGGGCCACCGTCGCCACCGCTGGATTCGCTTCAAGACCTTGCTCAGAGCGTTCCCCAGGAGAGGTCCGGGGAGTAGCGTATCCGTACCTTTTGGCTTTCCCATCGTAGGCCTCCCAGATGGGGTCGGAGGATCGCGCCGCATCGCCGACGTATCGGCGAAGCGGGTCGATGTGGGGCTAGAGTTGCTCCACGTCGCCGCCGACGTCGGCGATGTCTTGGCGATGCGGCGCGATCCTCCGACCCCATCTGATCAGACCCCACGTGGGAGGCCTCTGGCGGGGGGGGGTCCTTGGTCACTCGCGGGGGCGCCAAGATCATCGCGCTTTGTGCGTCGCGGCCTGGACTGGAGAGCTGCCCCTCTCCAGTCGCGGCGGCGCGACACGCGCGGGGGCGCGAGGTCAACCGCGCACGGCGAGGCGCGGGGGCGCGATGCGCGAGGTTAGTTTCCCTATGCGTCCCACATGGGGCCGCGGGGATGGGGCGTCGAGGTTTAGGTCGGGCCTGTCCCCCTACAGGGGGATGTTGGGCGCACACTTAAACATATGTACAACATATTCCGAACATGCAAAGGATATGAGAAAAAAAATCGTCCCCATATGACTTTCTTTTTGACGATTTTTGACTTACCCTCCCGTAGAGGGACGGGCCCGACTTAAATCGAGGTCCGCGGGGAGGTCTTCCCATGCCTCCCAAGGGGGGCCAGAGCTCTCAGAGAGGGTCGCAGCGTCCCGCCGCACGGCCGGGCGGCTTTCGAAGGGCTTCGCATGTTCTCAACAGCTCTGCAGGGTTCTCGGAGCCTCTCGGAGACCGGAGGTTCTCCGCGGTCGTCGTTGCCGTCCTCGTCGTCGTAGCCAGCGTCGTCGTCGAGGAGACGGCTGCCGTCAACGTCGAGGAGGAGGAGGAGGAGGAGGAGGAGGAGGAGGAGGAGGAGGCTGAGGAGGAGGTCGTCGTCGAGGACATCGGAGTCGTTGGGGGGCGGGGCGTCGGCGTTGGCGTCGTCGCCGCGCGCTTCCACGCGTCGGGAGAGCGAGCGGGGTAGAAGGAGGAGGAGGAGGAGGACCATTGCACATCCAAGACGCATCAACGACGTTGCAGCAGACCCTCCCTCCAAGTTCCCTCTGCAGGTGCCCCCGTAGGGGGACTTCAGTATCCTTGCGGGAAGTGTCCCACTGGAAGACGACCGTTTGAGAATCTTCACTCATGCCAAAATGCAATTCTTGGGTTTTTTAGCGCCGCGGATCCACATGACGGTTGCTTCCTGGTAATCATACATTGTGCCAGAGCGTCGTTCTTGGGAGTTCAACACGGGGAATCAACATGACCTTCACGCCGTGACAGGGTTACATCGTGCCTGAACGCCATTCATTCCTTGAAACTGGTACAAGCTTTTACGACGAATCGGCGCTAAGGCGAAAGCCACACTTTGAGACGGGGCCACCGCCAATGTCTGAAAATACTGCAGCTGTTTGAAACGAATGTGCGCGGCGCTGAGGCGAGAGCCACGTCTTGAACACGACCAGCCCTTCATCCTCGACGCTGAAACAGGCTGCGGGGATGCCACTTCGGGGATGCCACTTCGGCTGCGACAACAAGGACGCCATCGACCACTACCTCCGCTGCCCTCGCCTCATGCACCATGCTGCACTTCCACGCGGGCAGCTGGCACCAGAACTACTTCATCGCCTGGGCTTGGGCGGCGCGGACCAGCCCTACGACGGGGAGAACGGCATCAGGAGCGCGGCCGCCCGCCTCGCGGTCTCGTGCCGCGCCTACCACATGGCCAAAGAGGCCGCGTCCGAGCGCTTGCTGACATACTCCAAGACCGTGAACTTCTTCTCGGTCGCCCGCCACGCTCTGAGGCTGCCACCTGATCTCACTGGTGGCGCTGGCTTGCGCTGCTCTGCCTCCGCGCCCCAGCCGCCTCACAACATTATAGACGAGCCGCGGGCGGCGCTCCGTGCCCCCACCCGCCGCCCTTAGAGCAGCAACAGACGTCCGCCAGTGGACGTTCGCTCCTCCTCCACGTCCTCCTCCCCCTCCCGCTCCTCCTTCTCCCCCTCCTCCTCCTCCTCCTCCTCCTCCTCATCCTCCTCCTCCTCCTCCTCCTCCTCCCTCATCTCCTCCTCATCCTCCTCCTTCACCTTCCTCCTCCTCCCTCCTCCTCCTCTCCTCCTCCTTCCTCCTCCTCCTCCTCCTCTCTCTCTCCTCCCTCTTCCTCCTCCTTCACCTCCTCCTCCTCCTTCCTCCTTCCTCCTCCTTCTCCTCCTCCTCCTCCTCCTCCAGGACCTTCTCCAGGACCTCCTCCTCCTCCTCCTCCTCCTCCTCCTTTTCCAGGTCATTCCCCGACTGCCTGTCCTCCTCGAGGAGGCCGGTCCGGGCGGCCAGGGGCCGAGGGCGAGAGGCATCCCGGGGCGCCCCCTCGACCTCCACCCTGGCGCGGGGTGGGGGGGGGCCGGCGGGCGCTAGCTAAGGTCCCGCTCATGATTAAGGACCCCCCCCAGAAAAGCTGGCCCAGCGTTTCTGAACCAGCCGGAACGCTGGCTCGGTTTCTGAAGGGGATTGGCAGCCTTGGATCCTGGAAAGGAACCGTGCACGTCCCTGGCTCCCCCAGCGTTTCCTTACGAAACTTCTCTTCTGAAAAGTTGGCCCAGCTTTCTTGATTGATGATTGTCTTAATCATATGTCTCACTGTAGCAGGTCGACCCTGCCAAATCAAGGGCACCCTTGTGTTGGATGCTCGTTTGCGGGACCCTCCTGGGGCCCACCTAACGGATATGTTCGACTCCAGTTCGACCCCAAGCTTGACTCAAGTTCGACTCATGTTCGACTCAAGGTCGACTCAGGTTCGACTCAGGGTCGACTCAAATCGACGGCTGTTCGACGCAGTTTCGACGCACGAGCGGATCGAGCGTCTCCAGGAAGGCCCCCAGAATGAGCACCCAAACCCTTGTGTACCCTCGTGCCTCGTGTGCTTCGCGACCCATGCCTCCCAGACTCCTGTGGCAATCTGGCCCTCGGGAGGGGCTCGTGCCCCCTCCCGCGGCCCGGCAGCTGCCATGGCTCCTGCCGACGGGGGCTGGCCGCGCCAGCGCACTCGGGTGAGAACTCTTCCGCCTCTAAGTGGCCTTTCAGGGGTGGACCTCAACGGTGTTTCGGGCGCTTTCGTGGGCCGTTGTCGTGTCGAGTTCGTTTTGCGGTAGGAGGCGGATTCGAGGCAAAAAAGCGAGGGACAACGAAACCAAAACGAAAAACTAAAGAAACCGTTTAGGTTCAGCCCTGTGGCCTTTTCTTCCCCTCCCCCCCCCCCGGCCGCCTGCTCTGCCCCCTTCCCATTCCTTGCATGCTGGCCCCTTCGCTTTCCAGTGCCCCCGAGGAGGAGGGGGAGGGGGAGGAGGAGGAGGAGGAGGAGGAGGAGGAGGAGGAGGAGGAGGAGGAGGAGGAGGAGGAGGGGGAGGAGGAGGAGGAGGAGGAGGAGGAGGAGGAGGAGGAGGAGGAGGAGGAGGAGGATCTAGCTCTAGCGCTGGTGCAGCCAACTCTGCCTCGCCGCCGACGGGCCAAAAGTTGCTTCTCGCGCGTCCTCCCCGATCGACCTCGACAGTATCATGCGGAGAAACTCGGCGGCCGCAGCCTGGCCGAGGCGGAGGCCGCCGACTCGTCGCAGCCCGCGCCCTTCGGCTTCGAGGCGCAGGACGGCGGGCGCGGGCCGGCTGGCGACGACGACGACGATGATGACGACGACGACGACGAACACGACGACGACGACGACGACGAAGACGTCGACGGCGACGACGACGACAACGGGGACTACCTTTACGCCGACGGCGACGAGCACAAGGACGACGAGGCTCGAGGAGCGACTTCTCTTCGCCCTGGTTGGGGCCTCCTCCCCTCGCCGCCGCGGCCGGACTCCCGCCGGGACTCCTCTGCTCTCACGCTGCCCTGGAGAGGCCTGGCGAGTTGCTTTCGAAGGGGTTCGGAGGAGATCGCCGACAGACCCTCGAGTCTCTGGTCTTTCTGCGTGTGCGGCCTCTGCCTTCGGATGAACAGCATGTTCCAGGGCTGCGGGCGAGGGGACCGGGGCCTCGAGGCTGGAGCGTATCGATTCGTCGGAGGCCTGGGGCATCCTCTTTCATCTTACACTGGGGAGAAGGGCAGTCGAGGAGCGCGGAAGAGGAGGAGGAGGAGGAGGAGGAGGAGACGGAGGAAGAGAAGAAGGATGAGGGCGGGGAGCATCAAGAGTTTCGTTTTTTGCTTCTTGGTAGGGGGGGGCGGAACTTTCTGGGCAACCTCCAGAGGCGGCAGAGGCGACGAATGCGCCTCGCTGAAGCAGCTCTGCCACTTTTACGCGCAAGCTGCGCGGCGCTTGGGCGAGGAAGGCATTTCGCGCGTTCTGGCGCGTCCCCGCTACCGCTTCCGCTTTCATGCGAGTCGGCGTGTGAGACATGCCCGGCACCCAGGCGGTAACGCCACTTCCGAGGGAATTGTTCATACAGTTTAGGCGAGGGGGACTAGTGACCCGTTCGCTCGGAGCCTCAACACTTGACTTGACGCAACGGGCTCCACTTTACGCAGCTGTGCGTGGCGCAGTGCGTGGGCATCTTGGCATAACTGAGCACCACATGTCAGCGCGGATGAGGGGCTGCGGAGCAGGCGTGTAGAGGCGCGCGGAGTTCCCCGTGGGGCACAGTAATTACTCGCGAAAGGCGCGTTACGCCGAGTTGGCTGGTGGTAGCGCACGCGGTTGGGCGATCTGGGACCGCAGTCGGAGTTCCATGCAGGGTGGAAGGGGAGGTGGGATGGGTGAGGGAGGAGGGAGGAGGGAGACGCGCGGCACAGCCGAACGAACGCAATAACCCAAACACGCGGGAGACATGCAACAACAAAAACAATATGTGGAGACGAGACGGAGAAGGATGATGATCATGCTTATACAGATGAAGCTGTTTACAATGATGATGGTGGCGATGAGGATGAGGATGAGGATGAGGATGAGGATGGTGATGATGGTTATTGTGATGATAACGATGACGAGTATGATGATGCTGACGACGATAGTGATGATGGCGACGACGGCGATGATGATGATGATAGCGATGCTGATGGCGATTATGATGATGGTGAAGATGAAAGGAATGATGGTGGGGATGGGGATGATGATGAGGATGATGATGCTGATGGCGATGATGATGATGCTACTGCCGATGATGATGCTGATGATGATTCAATGACGCTGATGACGATGATGATTGTGGTGGTGGTTACGATGATGGTGCTGCTGCTGATGCTGATGCTTTTGCTACTGACGATACTTATGCTGTCGATGATAATGAACATGACGATTATGACAACGATGCCGCTGATGACGATGATGATCTTGATGGCGATGATGCTGGTGATGGTGCTGATGCTGATGATGATGACGGTTAGGATGACGACGGTGGCGATGATGATAATGATGATGATGATGATGATGATGATGTTGATGCCTATGATGCGGCTGATGATTCTGATGCTGATGCTAGAGTTGGTGATGCTGATACTTCTGATGATGCTGCTGCTGATGGTAACGATAATGTTGATGATGCCGACAATGATGATGACGATGATGACGATGGTGGCGATGATGATGATGATGATGATGATGATGATGATGATGATGATGATGATGATGATGATGATGATGATGATGATGATTAGGATGATGACGATGCTGATAATGATGCCAATGACGCGGACGCTACTGATGATACTGATTGCGGGTGATACTGATGCTAATGATTGTGATGATGTTGATTCTGATGATGATGTTGATGATGAGGCTGATGATGCTGCTGCTGATGATGGTGATGGTGGTGGTGGTGGTTATAGTGATGATGATGACGATTATGATGCTGCTCTTGGTGATGATGCTGATGATGCTGATGATGATGATGATGATGATGATGATGATGACGGTGGTGGTGGTGATGATGCTGTTGCTGATGATGATGGCGAGGAGGAGGAGGAGCAGGAGGAGGAGGAGGCGGTTAGCGGCCGCGTTCGATGAACACCATTGACATCAGCGTCTCAGCGTCTCAGGAGGAGGAGTAGGAGGAGGAGATTGAGGAGGAGGAGGAGGAGGAGTGGGCACGCCAGGTGCAGTCGCGTCATGTCTAACGTCCTACCCCTCCCGCCCATCCATTACCATGGCGTAGATATCCTCTCTATTCGCACAGTGAGATGTCGAGCAAGGCAATGATCTCGAGAGGTTGCGCGATGCATCGTAGAGCACGGCATAGCAGGGCGTAGAAGAGCATGGCAGAGCGTAGTATGCCATAGCATGTCGTGGTGTTGCGCAGTGAAGAATTGTATACCAACCCATTGTAACGTAAATAGTGGTATCGCATAGCGGCACAGAACATGGCACAGCATGGCGTTTAATATCAAAGTGCAGCATGGCATAGCATGGCGTGGCACTGCGTAGTCAAGCACTGCATATCCTAGCAATGCAGCTGAAGGCATGGCATCGCACAGCGGAGCACCACATAGCATTGCATTGCATTCCGTGGCATGGCATTGGAAATAATGACGCCAGCGCTGCAGCGGGAGCACGATTCGGAACGAGTGGAAGCGCGGAAATGAGGCTAGCGTTGCAGTGAGAGCACGATTCGGAACGAGCGCAAGCGCGGAAATGAGGCCAGCGCTTGAAAGGGAGCACGATTCGGAACGAGCTGAAGCCCGAAAATGAGGCCAGCGCTTCAGCGGGAGCAACATTTGTTAAACAGCCCAAGCGAAACCCAACTCCTGGGAATCCTGTGTGCTAAAAAACGTACGCGGAGGGGGGGCGAACATCTTGCGGACGTCATCAAGGGAGAGAGGAGAGTAGTATCCATATTCCGTATTTGTAGAAGGTGGGGCGCGGCGCTGCGGAGAGAAACCTAGGACTCAACAGCACAGGAAGGCTTGTGACCCCCCCCCCAGCGACAGGACCTGTACTCTGGCGAGCGCTGGCGCTTCGTCTGCGGCTCCTACGTCGAGCAGTGTGCTTGGCTGAGCTGCTTCGGCGGCTGCCGCGAGCCCCGCCCAGGCGAGGAGGAGGGGGAAGGACGCCTCCTCCTCCCTCCCCTCCCCCCTTCCTGTCTCGTTCGCTTCCGTATCCCATCACGACGCTTGTGCTGTCCCAATCGAAGCCGTTGGTAGGCGCTCCTTGTTCGCACCGGAGAGCAGTTCGATTCAATTTCTCCGTACTTTGATGGCGGTGAAGTCCCCAAGGTTCCAGACGCTGAGCTGTAGCTCTTGAGCGCTTTTGTCTTGACTTGTCCCATCACGGCGATGACGACGCCAACGCCGGCCGACACCGACGCCGACAAGGCCTAGGCAACGACGTCGACGCCGACGCCGACGCTGGCGCCGCAATCGCCGCTGCCGCCGAAGACGACGAGGGCCGCCAGAGGTCTGCCGATGGCCGCCGAGGGGCCGCCGATGGGCGCGCCGCGCCGCGCTGCGCACGCGGCAGGCGCCGAAGGCGCCGTCGCGGCGGTGCCCTTCTGTGGCGCCGGCGAGATCGAGGGCGCGCTCGGGCCGCTCGCCGGGCGGGCGCGTCCGCCGCTGGGGGCGCCAGAGGCGTCCCGCCGTGCCTCGTCGTCGAAGTCGCCGGGCTGGCCGTTGGGTTGTTGCTGCTGGCAACCGGGTGCCTCTGCTCTCGGCGCCCTCGGCCTCCGGCTATAGGCCGAGAAAGCAGCCGTCAGAGGAGGAGGAGGAGGAGGAGGAGGAGGAGGAGGAGGAGGAGGAGGAGGAAGAGGGGGGATACTGATGATGATGAGGAGGAGGAGGGGGAGGAGGGGGAGGAGGAGGAGGAGGGGGAGGAGGAGGATGAGATGAGGATGATGAGGATGATAATGAGGATGAGATGATGAGGATGAGGATGAGATGAGGATGAGGATGAGGATGAGGATGAGGATGATGATGATGATGACGATGAGGAGGAGGAGGAGGAGGAGGAGGAGGAGGAGGAGGAGGAGGAGGAGGAGCGAGGAGGATAGAGCAGGAAGATATGGTTGAGGGGACGAGGAGGAAGAAGAGGCACGGGATGCAGGAAGCACCGGGGAGAAGAAGAACGCGGTCGGAAATCGCCGCAGGCCGCTCCCAGCGGCTTCGCCGGGGCCCGTGGTCGGAGGCTCTTGGCGGCCCCGCCCGGTGGCCCCGCCCAGCGGCCCCGCGGCGGCCCCTCCGCGGCTCCCTCGGCGGCCCCTCCGCGGCCCCCTCGGCGGTTCGCGCCGGCCCCCGGCGGCCCCTCGGCCCGGCGGCTCCTCGGCGGCCCCTCGGCGGACCTTCGAAGGCCCTCGGCGGCCTTCGGAGGGCCGCGCGCGCTGCGCGTCGCGCCAGTCGGTGGCTCGATCGAGCCCTCTGGGGTCGAGGTCTTGGGATTTTTTTTTCTGTTTCATCGACCTCCTCCTCCTCCTCCTCCTCCTCGACCTCCTCGTCCTCCTCCTCCTCCTCCTCCTCCTCCTCCTCCTCCTCCTCCTCCTCCTCCTCCTTCTCCTTCTTCTCCTCGGCCTCCTTCTCGCCCTTCTCCTCCTCGGGCTCTTGGGGGCCTCTTGGGGGCCTCTTTGGGGTCTCTGGGGGCCTCTTGGGGTCGTCTTGGGCCGTCTTGGTGCGCGCTTGCACCGTCTGGCTCCTTGGGAGGCCGTCTTGGGGGACTCTCGGGGCCGCCTTGGGGCTCTCTTGGGGTCCTCTTGGTGGCCTCTGTGCGGCCGCTGGGGGCCTCTTCGGGGCGTCTTGGGGCGCTCTTGGGCCATCTTGCGGCCCTCTTGGGGGCCTCTGGGGTCGTCTTGGGGCCAGCTTGGAGGTTTCCTGGGCCGTCAGGAGCCCCCCAAGAGTCGAAAGAGGCGAGAACTGGAAAAGTCAGATTCAACAGCCAACGGAAAAGCAACGTTTTTGGCTTCTGGAGGTGCTCTTGGGGGCCTCCTTGAGGCCCTCTGGGGCCGTCCTGGGGGTCTCTTGTGCCCTCTTGGGGCTGTCTTGGGCCGTCTTAGGGCCGTCTTGGGCCGTCGTGAGGCTGTCTTGAGCCGTCTTGCGGCCCTCTCAGACTTCCAGGAGGCCCAAGAGGCCGATAATTTTGATTTCTGAACTCGGCCCGCAGAATGGGGGTCGTCAGATTTGGTCCGACAATGTGGCGCGACTCCATTGGGGGGGGTACGGCGGATGCAAAATCATGGAAACTCATACGATGTGCAATAAGTGTGCGATCGTGGGATACTTTGGACACGTTGCATTCAGGCGTTCGCCGAAAAGTGCTGCCGCTCAGCATGTCACCTCCAGGCGCGGATTCATTGGCTTGCGCCCCACCACCAGTCTCTTGGGGGCATTCTGGTTACCTGTGTCATGGTAACCGGATTCCTCTTGTTTCGCGGGGTGCTCGGGTTCTCGTGGGCGAGCCCTGGAGCTGTTCCTGGCCCTGCGAGTCTGCGTCCGCCAGCCCCGGCGGCGGGGCGGGGCCTCGTGGGGGGGCGATGCGTGCGGGGGTGAAGAAAGAGGAGGTGGAGGAGGAGGAGGATGATGACGAGGAGGAGGAGGAGGAGGCGGAGGTGGAGGAGGTGGAAGATGAGGAGGAGGAAGAGTACTAATAGTAGTATGCATTATTATATAAAGAAGAGTAGTAGGAATACTACTAATAATAGTGAACGAAGAAGAAGAAGGCGAATCATAATACCAGTCTTAAACATAAAAAGGACACATCAACATAATGATAAGGCAAGTAACACGAGAAGTACTGAGTAGTACTAAGAATCGAAGTACGAATAATCATACTAAGAAGAATACTAAGTCGACCAATGCGAATCCGAAGATTTTGAATAAGAAGGATGCGACTACTAATAATAATAAGGAGAGGAGGAGGAGGAGGAGGAGGAGGAGGAGGAGGAGAGGAGGAGGAGGAGGAGGAGGAGGGAGGAGGAGGAGGAGGAGGAGGAGGAGGAGGAGGAGGGAGGAGGAGGAGGAGGAGGAGGAGGAGGAGGAGGAGGAGGAGGAGGAGAGGAGGAGAGGAGGGAGGAGAGGGAGAGACGTAGGAGAGGGAGGATGAGAAGGAGGGAGGGGGAGAGGAGGAGGAGGAGGAGGAGGAGGAGGAGGAGGAGGAGGAGGAGGAGGAGGAAGGAGGAGGAGGAGGGGGTGGTGGAGGAGGCGGAAGAGGCGGAGGCGGACGAGGAGGAGGAGGACGAGGAAGAATGCGAGTATAATTCATATCATTAAGACTGCGAGTAATAATATGAAGAGGAGGAGGAGGAGGAGGAGGAGGAGGAGGAGGAGGAGGAGGAGGAGGAGGAGGAGGAGGAGGAGGAGGAGGAGGAGGAGGAGGAGGAGGAGGAGGAGGAGGAGGAGGAGGAGAGGAGGAGGAGGAGGAGGAGGAGGAGGAGAGGAGGATGAGGAGGAGGAAGAGGAGGAGGAGAGAGAGGAGGAGAAGAGGGAGGAGAGGGGGGCGAAGCAGGAGAGGGAGTAGGAGCAGGAGGAGGCGGCGGAGGAGGAGGAGGAGGAGGAGGAGGAGGCGAAGGAGGAGGAGGAGGAGGAGGAGGAGGAGGAGGAGGAGGCGGAGGCGGAGGAGGAGGAGGAGGAGGAGGAGAAGGAGGAGGAGGAGGAGGAGGAGGAGGAGGATGAGGAGCAGGAGGGGAGGTCTTAGGAGGGAGGGCCCAGGCCTTCGACGCGCTGCGGCCCGCTCACAGCTCAAGCGATGGGTGCGCCGCTTGTGCCCTAAAGGGGGTCCTGATGGGGCTTTCCTGGGCCCACAAGGGCCACGAAAGGTGCACGTTTGTCCCCTCGCCTCCACGTGTCGCCCCCCAGTCAGCAACGCCCGAGACCGAGAGCGTCTCCCACGCCGAGGGGCCCCTCCCTCAAGGGGTCCGCGGATTCTCTCGTTTGCACTCGCTGCGCTGACGAGGCAGACTTCAAACGGTGTTGAGGGCCTCGGGGTGTGCCCAGGGGTTCTCTTCGTCATGGCTGGGCCCGGCTCGGACACATGGAGCGTTCCAGAGAAGGGCCTTGTTTCCGAGGGCCGAAGGAGTTGTCATCTCCTCGGCGGCGAAAGGCGGGAGATGAACACGTTTTTGGGTTCAGGGTCTCCGGAATGCGCGAAGTGGGTCATGTGATGATTCTCGTTGGAGGGGCTGGACTTCGTGCAGGGAGCAAGGCGGGTCGTAGTCTTGCAACGCAGTGTTTGGCGGTCGCTGTGTGGTACCATAAGCATCTGCGAAGCGGCTCGCGAGGAGGCGCCGGTCCCGGAGATGGGGGGTCTTCAGCCTCGGGGCCCGCGCGCGTTGGAGCTGCGAGGGCGCGCCCCTTGCCCGACGTGCGCCCCGCATCCCGCGCCCGTCGGGACACCGAGGCGGGGGGGGCACGCTCTCTCTCGGGAGGCCACGGGGGCTCCCTGGAGGCCCGAGGGTGCCTTGGGACCTATACAGTCGGGACGCTGAGCCAAGGGCCGCTTGGGATGCGGGAAGGGGGCCCGCTGCTCCTCGGGTCGCTCCGTGGTTGTTCCTCCAGCCCCCCTCGTGCAACCAGAGGCACGTGTTCCCTGGAAACCCGAGGGTTCCTTGGGACCTACAGGCAGGACGCTGAGCTAAGGACCGCTCTGGATGCGGGAGGGGGGCTCGCTGCTCCTCGGGTCACTCCGTGGCTGTTCGTTCCTCCAGCCCTCCTCGTGCAGCCCTCCGAGGCATGTGTCCCCTTCGGCCTGGGTCCGGGGCTGCGGCTCGATCGCAGGCCAGAGAGGGCTTCGGGGCAACAGCTGCGTCCCCGGAGAAGGCCCGCAGCAGTCAGGTCTTTGGATTCCAGAGGGGGGGGGCTTCGTTCCTTCTTCAGCGGCCCGTGCTGCAGCAGCTTGACTTCAGCGAGGGGGACAGGGGACACGACATCTGCTGCACGCAGCTGCGCTCGGCCCCGCCGCCGGGCGCAGTCCTCGATGCACTGGTCGAGCTGTAAGAGACGGGGGCCAATGCGAGAACGGGGGTCGGCCAGAGCGCCAGACCTTGCAGGAGCCTGCAGGGCCAGGGGAGCACTGACCCGGGCTCGCGCGCAGTATTCTGCAGGATCCTGCAAAAAAGCCCGACTGGCCCAGGCTTGTACTGCGCCGGGTTTGTGTGCGTCCTCGAATTGGCGCCTCCAGCGCCGGGAAGCGCCGCGAAAACCAGCTGCGTGAGCTCATCGAGAACAAGAGAACCCCTACCCTTGATAACACGATGAAGACGTGGCCTCACTTAGGTCCTCGTCTTCGCATTGGGGATAAGAAGTCTGGGGTGTTCGGTCCGACACACCTGCAGAAATGACCTCCTATCCCAGTGTTATCGGGCCTCTTAACTTAGGTCCCCTCCCAACTCGTTTTTTTGTGTGCGGGTGATCATGAGCTGATGCGCTAACCTCCCCTTGGCTATCCCCCCTTCCCCTGCGTCCCCGAACTGGTGCCTGCAGCGCCGGGAGGCGCCACGGAACCCAGACCCCCGACTTCGTGATTTTTCCACGACGTGCCCCTCAAGACTCTTGACCTCTTCCCGGGGAGCGGTTGTCCATCCCGAGCCGTTCTTCTTGGCGGCCCCGAGGCCGGGGAAGGGCTCCCGGCAGGCCGAAGACAGCGACAAGCCTCCCCGAGCTTTCCACGGCGCGAGGGGCTCTGGGAGACCAGCTGCGTGAGCTGATTCGCCGCCCTCCCCTCTGCTCTGCACGCACGAAATGGGTACTGAAAGAACGGGTACAATGGCACGCCAACAGCGGATCTGGTTCATTTTGAACAGGGCTCGCTGTCCACGCCGCCGCGGCCCGTGTCCACTCGAGACAGGAGGCCGCCTGCCCAACAGCGGCCGCTGCTGGTCTGGGACAGCATTTGCTGTTGGGCACTGTACCCATTTTTCCGGTACCCATTTCGGGCGTCCAGATCCCCAGACCCCCGATGTCATGATTTTTTCATGACGCGACCGCAGGAGGTCTGGACCCATTCCCCGGGACCGGTTTTTCATCCCGAGTCGTTTTTTGACGGTCCTGAGGGCCGGTAAGGGCTCCCGGAGGCCGAAAATAGCGAAAAACCTCCCGTCGTGATTTTTGCATGACTCGAGGGGCTCCGGGTCTGCTGCCACCCCCTATCGATCCCTTGCGGCCCACCCGCTATGGGGCGAGCCCGGGCGCCGGCGGCCGGCGCGGCAGCTCGAGGGCGGGGAGCGCCCCGCGCTCCGGGCGTCGCGGGCGGAGCGCCACGGCCACGGCGGGCGGCGGCGGCGGCCGGCGGGGAGCGCCCAGAGCAGAGGAGGCGGAGGAGGAGGAGGAGGAGGAGGAGGAGGAGAGAGGGAGGAGGAGGAGGAGGAGGAGGAGGAGAGGAGGAGAGGAGGGGAGGAGGAGGAGGAGGAGAGGAGGAGAAGGAGGAGGAGGAGGGAGAGGAGGAGGAGGAGGAGGAGGAGGAGGAGGAGGGGCGGGCCGAGAGGGGGAGGCAAATCCATCCGGCGCGCGTGGGCTCCGACTCGTGCGCCGCGCGGTCGGCGCCCCACGGGCTCGGCGCTCTGTTCGGTCCGGCGTGCTCGCCCTGGGCGCGGCGGCGGCAGTCGGTGCCGGCAGCGGCGAGCTCGCAGCGGCAGGCGGTGTCGGCACCGCCGCGGCGCGACGCAGCGAGCCGCCGCGACGGCGGCGCATCCTTCCCCCCCCAGACACGATCGGGTCGAGCAAAACTCAGGACGGCGGATTTTCGGTCGTTTTCGGCCTTGGGAGGCCCTCGCCGGCCCTCGGGACCGTCAAAAGAAGGCTCAGGATGAAGAACCAGTCCTGGGGTAAGGGTCGGGACTTCCAGGGACCCCATATCGACAAACATATCAGGGCGTCGCATGTCTGGGCCAGATCCGCATCGTGGAGACACTGCGCCGTCGCCGCGAAGTGGTCGCGGCTGGAGCTCTCGGCCCCTTCTTCGTGCTCCAGGCGGGCCGCATCGATCCGGGAGGCGCGGAGGCGCGGCGCGGGCGCCCGCTGCGCTCGCCTCTCGCAGGAGGCCGCGGTGCCGCGCGGTGCCGGTCCGCTGCGAGCGCTCCGAGCTCGAGCGCGGGCGGCAGCGGGCGCCGGCGGCGTCGGGCGGTCCGCGTGGCGAGCGCGAGCGGCGGCGGCAGCGGGCGGAGGTCAGCTGCGCGCGCGGCGGCGGGCGGGCGGCGGCGGCGGGCGTCGGTCAGCGTCGCGAGCGGCGGTCGGCGCGGCGCAGGCCGCGCGGCCTCGCGGCGGCGGCGGCTGCGGCGCCCTCGGCGGCCGCGGCGAGCCCGGCGAGGGCGCGGACGTCCAGGAGGATGCCCCCGGCCTCCCGAAGCCGCGGAGGCCCCAGACTCTACTAGGCCTCCGAGATGGGGTCCGAGTAGCGCTGAATCACCGATGCATCGCCTAGTTATGCGGCTCGATGTGGAGTCCGATGTTCTCCATGCCGACGGCGCCGATGCATGGTCGACGCGGCCGATGCATCGGCCATGCGGTCGGACCGAAGTATCAGATCGAGGTCGGTTCGGGGAGGGTGCCCTTCTGTTCTTTATTTCTGTTGGATGCTCTGGTGCATCCTGGGGAGGGTATGCTTTGATGCTCTGTGCTGTTTGCCCGGCGGAAGGTCTCATGTTCTCGAAGGATGTTCTTTTGTCCTAGGTCCGATCGCGCATCGGCGATGCATCGGCGATGCATCGGCCATGCAGCACGATCCTTCGACCCCCATCTATCAGAGCGTGAATTACCTCCCCCGCTTTCGCTTCCAGGCAAAACCAAGTCATACCACGCGCCTCCTCGTCAAGCGGCCAAACCAGTACAGGCTGCAATTTGGCATCGTTTGGTATCTCTTGGAAGCGAGGGTGGTCAAAAGCGAGGGAGGTTTGTTTTCCCCCTAATCTACTCGGACCCCATCTGGGAGGCTTCTGCAGACCCTCCCAGCGCGTCGTGAAGAAAGATCGCGACGAGCGGTGTCGCAATGGCGCGGCCCTTGCTGGGCCTGGGGCCGTCGAGCGGTGTCGCAGGATCAGCAGCTGGTGGCCCCTGGCTATGCTGTTCCCACCTGCTCTGGTCTTAACCACCAGAACCAATTCCGAGCACCAAGGATGTACCGAAACTGGGGGGAAAACAAACCTCCCTCGCTTTTGACCACCCTCGCTTCCAAGGGATACCAAACGGTGCCAAATTGCGGCCTGTACTGGTCAGGCCGCTTGGCGAGGAGGCGCGTGGTATGGCTTGGTTTTGCCTGGAAGCGAAAGCGGGGGAGGTAATTCACGCTCTGAGAAACTGGGGGGTGGTTCACGTGCCGGGCCCTGGGCGGCGATACTCGTTCGACACGTCGCCAGCGTGTCGGGCAGACACTAGATGTTACCATGTTCAGCACGATGTCGGAAACTGGAGCATGTACATTCTCAGGGGCGGGCTCTTTCTCAATCCCCTGACTTTTTGAGGGTCGGGGACGACGTCAGGGTGGTGTGGTGTATACGTTTTCCCCGCTTCCCATGGGAAACAGCGAGACACGTATACACCAGGATCTCGTATTCACCAGGATTCGCTTCCCTGTGCGAATTTCAGTGCGGGGCCGGAAACAGCGTCGGTGTATAGAGTTCGGTTCCTTAGCATGCACATGTGCGGCGTGATCGATCCGCAGCCGCCGGGTGCCGGCATGAGCGTTCCATTCCCTTCCGTCGCGGGCGGTTTTTCTCCCCCAGTCCCCGAGTTCTCCCCAGAAAGGCTTGGCCGTTCAGAGGGGGGTGGGGGGTGGGATACACCCACCGGGGGGCTATATTCGGACGCACCCCTGTCGATGATGGACGCCCCCCCCCCCCCCTCATTGTATGTCCCAGGATGGGACCCCAAACTTCTGGCCCAACCGAAAAGCCCCCCCCAGAGTCGGGGATGGGGGTCGCCATGTCCCCCCGTCCTTCCGTTCTTCGGTCTTCCAACGCTCCAAGACGGCCCAAGGGGCCGACAGTACCGCTCCGAGACGGTTCAGAAGAGGGCCCGAAGACGGCCCCAACGAGGGCTTGAAGACGGCCCAAGAGGCCCCCAGGACGTCACGAGAGGGGAGGGCCACGAGAGGCCGAAGAGGGGGCCCGCGAACTTCCATGTCGAGCCCCCGTCCCAAGACGTCCCCCGAGACCGCCAACAGGCCCCCAGGGCGCCTCCAGAGGCCACTGCTCCTCCTCCTCCTCCTTCTCCTCCTCCTCCTCCTCCTCCTCCTCCTCCTCCTCCTCCTCCTCCCCTCCTCCTCCTCCTCCTCCTCCTCCTCCTCCTCCTCCTCCTCCTCCTCCTCCCCTCCTCCTCCTCCTCCTCCTCCTCCTCGCCCGACAGATTTCCCCCCCTCCCGCCCCCAGGGCCTCCTCACTCCGGCGTGTGTGTGGCGGTCACCCCCGCCCTCTTTCGACGGCGGCGACGCGCTGCCTCTGGTCATTCTGCCTCCCGCAGCCTGCCTGCTCTCGCTCGCGAGCTGCCTGCTCGTCGAGTCGCGCTTCCTCTCGAAGAAAAAAACATAAACATAAACTTTGAGGCCCGCGCGCACCCGACGACGGCGACGCCTGCCTCTGGCTTCGCCTCAGGCAGCCTGTCTGCTCTCACTCGCGAGTTGCCTGCTCGTCGAGTCGTCCTTCCTCTCGAAGAAGCAAAAGCGCCATAAGCATAAACTTCTGGCGCTGTGCCATGGCCCCCCTGGGCGGCGCCTCCTGCGCCCCCCTTGGCGCGCTCCGCGCGCCAGTGAGGGGGGGTCCGGCGCGGATCCATGAAATCCGCGCGCAGCGCCTACAGTGTGTGTTTATGGCGTTTTTTCTCCCAGGCCAGCCTCCTCGAGGTCCGACGTCGCGAGTAGAGGTAAAAAGACGAACATCGCGAACAATCCCGACCCGAGCCCTTCGTCCCCATCTTGTTGCGTCACGTCTCGAGCCGGATTGATCTGTGATGGCCCTGGGGCACGACACTGGGCGAAGTCGCCCGGCGTTGAAACAATGCGACGCCATGTCGGTTTGACTTGCAACCGTTGCGTTAGTTGCTCTCAGGAGGTTTTTCGTTTGTTATTGCACCCCCCCTGGGCGAAACGGCGAACGAGGAAATCCAGCCGCGAAAAGGGAATTCGGCCCCGAACGGGAAATTGTTTCTCGGTCGAGGGGGGATTTTTTCTGGACGAATGGGAAAATTATCCAGGGGCTCCCGGGATTGTTTCCCGGTCGAACGGGGAATTCTTTTCGGCTTATCGAGGTCATTTTCCTGGCCGACGGTGGATTCGTTCTTGGTGCTATCACGTGTGCTGCTGGATGCAGGCTGCCCTGGGCATGGGAACCGCTGGAGAGCACGGGCGGGTGCATTCGGCTTGCATTTTCGACTTTAGGGCAATTCCAGTACTTTACTTTCCGTAGCCCCGTTAAGGATCCACCTCTGAGGGTTGTCAAGGGGAACGGTGTGTCCCCCAGCCAGCCGGGGGCGACCAGCAATGGAGTTGCCCTAGTTTCGAAGCCTGTGTCCGAGGCAGTTGCTTCCAGGCAGGGCGCAGGCTTCGTTTCTAGGCCGAGGCTTCCCGCCAAGTGGGGCGCTCCAGACGTGGCCTCGCCATGGCGGGATCGCAGGAATCTCCGGCTCTGCCGTGGCGGAAGGCGGTGGATGGGCGGCGGAAGCATGCGGCATCATAGCGCGGCCGCCTCCGCCGGCGGAGGCTGGTGGCACTAGAAGGTGCGGCCCCAAGAGCGGACCGTTTGCGTCCCTGCCGCGGAACTGAGCATGGAGTCACGTGCTCGGTTGTCTCGTCGGGCAGGTGCAGGTGCCGTCGTAGTCGCTGCTCCTGCCCCAGGCGTGGCAACTAGAGGTGGCCGCGCGCCGAGGGTGCTGCGTTTAGGACGCTGCGTTCTGAATCTTCGCGTCGGCGGTTGAATTCGTGTTACGGGATCTGGAAACAATTTCGCATTCGCCGATGCATCGGCGATGCTGCGCGGTTCTCCGAGTCCATACGATGCGGCCCCCTCTGGTAGGCCTAGGACAACTGTCCCTGACTATATCCTGAATTGCATTTTCTATGCGCATGCAACCGTGGCAACGAGAGGACATGGAGGATGAGGAGGAGGAGCAGGAGGAGGAGGAGGAGGACGAGGACGTGGACGAGGAGGAAGAGGAGGAGCAGGAGGAGGAGGAGGAGGGGGAGGAGGAGGAGGAGGAGGACGGGGATGAGGAGGATTAGGAGCAGGAGCAGGAGCAAGAGCAGGGGGAACAGGAGGAATGAGGGGACGAGGAAGGGAGGTCGAGGACGGGGAGGGGGAGGGGGAGGTGGCAGAGGGGGAGGGGGAGATTAACGAGGAGGGGGAAGGGGAGGAGGCCGAGGGTGAGGGGGAGCGGGAGGAGGAGGAAGAGGAGGACGAGGAGCTGGAGGAGGGGGAGGAGGAGGAGGAGGCGGAGGAGGAACTGAACTGAACTGAACGCTGGGGACGATCTCTGAGTCCACATACATTGAACAGCACCAGAGCTGCTGGAAGAAAATTCTCATCCCTGCGACGGCCAGGTGGCCGCATCAACCATACATTTACGAGGGGGGCTCCTGCTGGGGGGAGACGCCCCCGCTGGCCCCGAAGGCAAACCCCACAAGGTGGATGTCCACCAGGGGCGCCTGCGGGCACCAGCCTCAAATCCCAGACTGAAGACCCCTACTGGGCCGTCCACGCTTCTTCTGAGGTGGCCTAGATGCACGTCGCTCGCTGGCCGGATCCGCACGGCCCTCCGCACGGTCAGTGTCCGCCGCAGCCAGCCGCTCCGTCTCCTCCACCCCCGAGCCCGTCCCACCCCCGCCTCCCACACACACAAACCCATCCCCTCCAGTCACTCTGATGTCCCTGATGTGGCCGCGTGCCACCAGGGACGCAAAACGAGCACTAGCAGAGAAGCATGCAGGCAAGGCAAGCGGTGGCGGGGCGGTCAGAGGCTGCCTCACTCCACTCGATGATGAAGGACGAGGCGGCGTCGGACGTGCCGTACGCGAATTCGATGTACTGGGTGCAATTGTCATTGTCGTCTTCGGTACCCGAGCAGGAGGTTCCCCAGAGATCGTATGATGATACGCCCGATAGTGGTTGCCCGCATCTCCACTAAATCGTGAATCCATGATCTCGCCTTCCCAGTCAACTATCTCAAACGACTTCATATCATCATCAGCATGTCTGGCGCCAACGGTCGGTACTTCACCTGTCTCATTGCCCGCAAGGCTGGCAGGGGGATCCGTGCGTGCCGTCGCCGCGGTCGGTACTTCACCCCCTGCAGCGCCCGCAAAGCGAGAAGGATCCGTGCGTGCCGCTGGCGCCGATGCTGCTCGTACCAGCCTCGCCACTTTCAGCTCTAGTGACGATTCAACCACTGCTGTACCTGACGCTCTGCCGCACTCCTCGGAGCAGCTCCCACCAGCCTCTCCGTTTTGACCTCCAACAGAACCTGCTGGAAGATCTCGCATCGTGCCTGCCCCGTCGTCCCGTTCGGCATCACATTCAGCTTGAACTTGACCTTGTTCTCCATGCGCTTCGACTTCTCGCCCCTCGGCTGCTGGAACGAAATGTGTCGTACATAGTTCACCAGCTCGACTGGACCTTTGCCCTGAAGGTGATCGCGGTGGAACTTCTCGATGGCCTCCTTCGGCGCACCTGTGTTCGCATTCTGGCGGATGGCCATCATAATCAACCAGAAGACCGTGAGAAAGGGAGGCCCCAGGCTGGCGAGGTCGACGGTGTGATCCTGGCCATTATTTTCCTTGAGCGCTTTCGCCTGGCCCGTGTAGTGCGCATTCGCCGCCAAGCCTGCGCGAGCGAACCAGGCGCTCTCGTCGATCAAGTACGTCTCGAGGACATTCGACTCGATCATGGCCAGCTCTCTTGCATTGCTGAGCGACAGGCGTGCCATGGCCCTGAACGCGTCCACGAAGTCGCTGTCGTCGGGGTCCGCCTGGCGTCGCCTCCTGCCTCCGCCTCCCCCGCCGCCTCCGCTTCCGCCACCTGCCGTCGCAGGCTTCTTGGCCGCGCCCTCGGCCTGCTCCTCGGCGCCTCGCTTGGGCCTCACCGCGCGCAGCCACTGCGGCATGCCGACATCGGTCCCGAACAACGTGTCGTCGACGAGGGCCATCGCGCACACTTGGAACGAAAGGCAGGTGAGTGCAAGCGTGATCGTTACATTCAGCAATCCTTGGAAAAAAGAGCCACGTATAATACAGGTGAGGTCCTGAGGTTCCTGAAGAGGTCGAAGAGTGGTGGCTTTGTTCTGCAAGCATCTTCCGTTCGCCAGGGCTCCATGGAGATGTTTTTTGGGCCGTTCTTCGATCCCAAAAGACCTCGTGGCACGCAATGCACTGATTCGTCTTGGTCAGGGCCTGGTACAGCTTCACCGTGCCATGAATGCGCCGAATATGATTAACCAATCCAGATTTAGACGAGAACTTAGATTGACAACCAGTCCAGGGACACATGTGGGGAAACTCCGTACAGAGGGCCTCGTATTCCAGAGCTGAGTGGTCAACTTCCTCGAGCCCAGGGGGAGGTACTTCAACAAACGAGTGCGTGCCTCTCAGGATGGTCATATCCACCCGCAGGAAGTCGGGGGCGATCTCGGGGTCGAACAGTTTCAAAATCGAGCCCTCCGCGCGCCCCCAGCATTCAGCAGCGTCCGAGCTCCACTGGACAAGGTGTCTGATGTCATCCTGGACACGACGGGCCCATGGGGTAGCCGATTCACGAACCCTACCGTAGTCATCGAAGACCCCCTCCCTCTCGAAGGTCACGCTGCCGAAGATCGATGCGAGTAGCTGTTGGTGGGCCTCTGGTCTTCTGATGCGCGCCTGAAGCCATCGAAGCCGCCGAACACGAAGTTCAGTCGAGACGGGGGCGATCCTCCACCGCCTCAGCACCTCCATCGACGAAAGCGATCGAATAAGGCCCTCCTGATCCTCCCAACTAGCCTCCCCACGCATAGCTTTCCGAGCGAGAGCAGCGATAGCCAACTGCAACGTGTTGAGCTGAACCTCGGTCGGTACGAAAGCCTCGACTCCAGACAGCGCCGCATTCACTATGTGGCGCAGCAGTATGCATCGCTTCCATCGGACGGGTATTCCACGCTTAAACCAGAAACTCCCAAGACGATAGAACGCAGCTATCATGGCCTGGATCCTGTGCAATAGCTCTGGTCCAAACGACTGCGTCGGCGAAATCCGTGGGCCCAGGTACCGAACGTCCCCAGCAACCTTCGTCTCCCGACTTCTCAGGATCGCAGCAGCGCCTCGCCGAGAGCTAGCAGGGACCCTGTTCTGCTCTGTGCAGATGCGACGGATTTGGCCACCCATCCACCATGGGCGGCCCCACAAGACAACCCTGGCCCCGAGGGGCTCTTGGTCAGCCGCGATGGCGACGGCCCTCCCTGTGCTGTCCTTGCTCGCGTACAACCCCTTGCACGCGGCTGGAGACAGATTGCTGGATATCGTGGCAGAAGTACCGAACATACATGTACTGACAATCGTATCAGGTCAGCATGGTGCAGCAACGAGTGTGTATTGAAGCAGGGTAGGGGTTCTCGAATCGAGCTGCTGGAGTCGCCGCTGTTTTGCCCCCCAGGCTGGCGCCAACAACGCGTTCGCCGAGTAGAGCTACCTCCCCCACCCCTGCAAGGGCGAGGCGTAGCTATTGATGCGGGGAAGGGAGGCTGGCAATGATTTATTGTAGTGTTGTACTACCCTCCCCGCCCAAGCACTGCCACGGGCCTCAGACAGTATTTCGCGTGCTGCAAGAAACTTTCAGAATGGATTGCGGGGCTTCTTAGACAAGTTCCAGCGCGGGTTCAGCCAGTTATACTAGCTGATGTCAATGACGGGATGGGGCTTAGCAAGGTGGAGGGGAACTGGGGGGAGGTGGGCACGCAGGCGGTGGGACAGGTGAGGACGAGGGAGAGGCACATCGGAGGAGCGGGACCGCGATTTCGAGAAGTTCTGGAAGCTGCTGATTTGTACTCCCCAACAACCACGTCACACTATGCCCCAACTTTTTACGGAAATAATGGAGGCAGCAGTGTGATAGACCACATCGGGGTCCCGTTGGCGTGGTGTGACTCGGTCGAGTGCGCGGCTCCGACTCACAAGCTGGGACGGAAGCTACAGGTCATTTTTCGTAGAGAGCCGCGCGACCATCTGCCTGTTCTGGTCAGTGCTCGTGTGCCTAGGATTGGAGGAGGACAGGAGGTCAGAGAGGAAGTTGCCCCTGATGCCAGGACCCGCCTGAAAGTCGCCTGGGGCCGTGATAAGCTCATGCAGGGTCTCCGTGGGGGCCCAAGAAGGAAGGCTTTCATCAGGCAGGTGGAGGAGGAGATGGAGGAGGTGTGGTCCAGTCTTCCGTCAGATCTTGCAGACACAGCTGCCCCAGACCTTCTGCTCGATAGGCTGGATGACGTCCTACTGCGTCTGGGCAGTCAGCATTTTCAGAGAGAGTGCGCTGGGCCTCGTGAGCCGCGCCCACTCATTCAAGAGCGTCTGGCTCTGCTTGCTCAGCGACGAGCACTTCGTGCATCACTCCATCTTGCCGCAGATGCTGAATTTGAAGAATGCTGTGCCCGCCTTCGTGAGTATACTAAGAGGTGCAAGTCTATCTTTCGACGTCGCAGCAGGGAGAGAGACGAACGCCTGGTACAATCCATATGGGAGGCTTGGAGAGCCCGTGACTTTGCGGTTATTCAACGTCTCACTCTTCAGCTTGCAGGTGGGAAGAATGGGAGGGCTAAACGGGACCTACGAAAGTTAAACGGAGCGTTACCTACTCCAGAACAGTGGATGGCGGTATGGGAACAGCAGGGAGGG